GATCTAACGGTTCAAACTCTAAAGATCAAGCTTGGAAATCTAGTTCTCTCACTCTCAACTTCTCTTCTTCTTCCTAGAGCTTCTCTCTCTACAATGCAAAATGTATGACACAAAATGATATGTTTTGTCTCTCTGCCAGCTGATTTAACCCTCTACTGGGACACGTGGCAACAACTGGTTGGCTCTCCTCAAAAAGGTGACAGAATGACAAGACAAGAGTATGACAAAGTGTATACAACAAGTAAGGTGACATGGGCACTCCCGCAGGTAATGATCTTGGGTTAGGACATAGGCTTCGGCAGGTAAGGTCTCTATGATCTCGGCTAGGAAGGATAACACTTGGCCTAGCTGTGCCACACCTCGGCCTAGATGCGCCACACCTCGGTCTAGGTCATACCAGTCCAGGAACAAGATCACGAGATACTAGGATAAAAAAATCTAGGATGCCTAGATGATAACATCTCGGCCTAGGTGATGCACATCTCGGCCTAGATGATGACATCTCAGCCAATATGCCTAGGTGATGGTGGAGGTCAACCAAAGTGGTGGTGGAGGTCAACCAAAGTGGTTCCAAGATGGTCCTATGTGTAAGAGGTTCGAAGGTGTGACCTGGGCTTAAGATGACCTCGGCTTAACTCACACTAAACAAGGAACAAAGTATGCAAGCAACACTTAGACAAAACAAATCAAGGTCTACAAAATGCAAGCTTAACAAGACAAAAATCATGTAAATGCACGTGAGCATGACTAAGACAAAGTGAGGGTTGTTACAGACATGGTCGTGAAGACCAAAGAACCTGGGAATCATCTAGCCGACTTGAAAGCAGTTTTTGATATCCTGAGAATATATCAACTCCGACTCAATGCTTCGAAATGCGCATTTGGAGTCGGGTCTAGTAAATTTATGGGATACTTGGTCACCAGAAGGGCATTGAAGCAAGCCTAGATCAAATCAAGGCCATCACTGACTTGAAAAGCCCGACATCCGCAAAACAAGTGCAGATGTTGACTGGAAGGACCGCAGCCCTAAATAGGTTTATCAGCCGAAGTTCTGATAAGTGTAAACCATTTTTTAGTTTGTTAAAGAAGGCCACAGATTTTTTGTGGACAGAGGAGTGCGAAGTCGCCTTGGCCGACTTAAAAAAGTACCTAACAATAGCTCCACTTCTGTCAAATCCAATTCTTAGAGAGGAATTGTTTCTATACTTGGCAGTTTCAGGGCATGCAGTGAGTGCAGTAATAATCAAAGAAGAGAAATGAGAACAAAGGGCAGTATACTATGTGAGTAAAACTCTAGCAACTGCAAGGAAAATGTACTTATCCTTGGAAAAGTTGGCACTAGCCTTGGTGATGGCTTCTAAAAAACTGAATCACTACTTCTAAGCCCAGAAGATTGTGGTACTGACTGAGCATCCTTTGAAGTCCCTGTTGCAGCAAGGAAATCTGACAGGCAGGGTAGCCAGATGGGCAATAGTGTTGGACCAATATGACTTGGAATTAAGGCCCAAAACAGCAATTAAAAGCCAGATTCTGGCCGACTTTGTGGCTGAGTTCACCTCTAGTGCCAGAATCCAAGATGAGCGGATAAGGGACAAGAGTCCTAGAATATGAGAGGATCTCAGTCGGGATAAAGATAAAGCTCTTATGGAGTTTATCCCAATCTAGTTAAGAGTCTAGGATAAGCATCAAGCCAGAGTCCACTAAAGTGAGGCTTCTACAGGGATCAGGTTAGTGCTGGCTATAAAAGCAAGGCACCCCCGTGGGTCTCAGATGGGTGATATATTGTGAGCAGTAAGTTCTTTCTTGTGAGTTAAGCACAATTTACTATCTTTGAGAGATATTTCGATTACTGACTTAATCGTCGAAGTGCCCCCGAGTAGACGAACCACCGCCGGATTCTTATCTTTCTATGCCAGGTCATTTGGGCCTAATCTGTTCTGCTGGTGCTCTTCAACTAAGTTCCCCGTTTGGTTGTATGGTCGGAAATCAACACCCACAAAAATATATGTCTAATTATCTAACTGGCCTCAAAATTTATCTGTAATGGCCACTTGTGCGAGCCCATTTCACTAGTATTATCTAGATCTTGTTTTTTTGTTAGCCATCTCATCAAAATTATATTTTGAGTGCGATCCGCAATTTCAAAACAAATTTTGAATAATAAAAGTCATTGTAAATTGGCTTTAAAATTTTGTATCTTTTGACATTTTGAATGATGTCAAAAATATTAAATTCATAAACAGTAAGTTGTTCATCAATTTTAGCCATGTTTTTCTTAAGAACAGTAATAGACTATCAAATGAATTTCATCATTCTTTGACAAAAAGGATTGATTTTCTATTTTAGTTATTATTGGCTTTAAAAATCATCTATAGTCATGTTATCTTCATATCTTGACTCTCTAAAAATAAGTGTATCAGCCTCTTTAGCCACATTAGTTTCATACCTTGCTCCTCATAAATAAGTGTTTGCATTCCTTGATCCATTGATGAAATTACTTCATCAATTTTGGTTTGGCCTTAATTTGTTGAAGGGCCTTCATCAATCATGCTTTGTTAACCCAATTAATAGTCGTCAGTATTCTTTAGGGATTGTAACTTGAACCCAGCCCGATGGGGACCCGACTTCCCAACCCTGATTTAAGCGGTTTTTTCCTAAAAAATATCCCCAACGGAGCGGGGATGGTATTCAAAAATCAATCCACAATTAGTTTCGGGCTAGGGACGGCAATAAGTGTCCCAGCCCCATACCCGGCCCGTCCCCGTTTGTCACCGAAGTGAAATTACTAGTTTACCCCTATATATATATATATATATATACATATGTAAACTAAACCCTCATCCTCATTTCAATTATGTCTTCCTCTGTGTCTCTCTCTTCCCTCTACTCTCTCTCTCACTCTCACACCTCTCCTCCTTCTCAGCGCCACCACCACTGTCCGCGACGCTGATCATCCTTCTCCGTCATCCATCGCCTCCGTCGTTGTAGTCACAGCCACCCATCACCTCCAATCGTCCTTCTCCATCGTCTATCACCATTGTCCGCGACGTCGATCGTCCTCCTTCGTCCATCATCGCCTCCTCCGATCTCCTCCATCCTCCATCGCCGCCGATCGTCCACTCACTCTCTTTCTCTCTCTCTACGTGACACAGATACATAGATCTCAGATTTGCTTGTATATGTATGTATACATGTATTTGTGTGTGTATCTGTCCATTTTTTTTTTTTTTTTTGCTAGTGGATCTATTGATGATGCCGATCATCCACTCTCTCTCTCTCTCTGACACAGATGCACAGATCTCAGATCTGTTTGTGTATGCATGTATACATATATGTCTGTTTGTATCTATCCATTTTTTTTTTGGTTTATGATCTGCTGATGATTTTGTTGATATGTTGATGTTGAAAATGAAACAATTGGGGATGATGATAATGATGTTATTGTTGTTGATGATGATGATGTTGTTGATGGTGTTGTTGAACAGATTTGGACTGGGAAATTTCCAGGGTCGGGGAAACCCGATCCCCGATAGAGCGCGGGCATGGGGACGATGGTAGGTTCCCCGTCGGGGATCGGGGTCAGGGCTAGGGAGATTTTCACAATCGAGGATTGGGGACAAGGAGTGTGATCCCCTTCCCCACCCCGGCCAGTTGTCATTCCTAGTATTCTTTCCCTTGAAGGCATGACAAAGCCTTCTTAATCTGGGTTAAAATTAGTTGTACTAAAAAGCTATTTAATTGGCAGTTCTGCGGGGACCCCCAGTGGGGGTAACCCCCAGCACCCCTACCTCCACATGGGGGTAGCAATTGAATGAAAAAAAAAATTAATTTTTTTTGACCAATCAGATCCCAGTGGGGTCTGATTCATTTCCTTTAATTGGCCTACATTTGCAACATCCTGGCCATTTGCTTGGCTTAATTTTTGCCCAGCCACTGAATGGCCCTCTGCAAGATCCTGTATAATCTCCATGCCTTTTTGTTTGTTTCTTCTTTGTCTTATCTCCAAATTAGACTGGTTCACTAGGTGCACCAATTCACGTTAATAAAATTCCAGACCAATTTATGTTAATAAAAATTTTCTGTAAATAGTTTAGAAATTTGATAAAGAAAAAACAGTTAGATTATGGTAAGAAAGCAGATGTGACAATAGATAGTTTTGCTAACTTTTAAGTCAAATTTGATTTTGTCATTTTTTGACAAGGTATTTGGCAAGGCATTTGTCACAATCATTCGAGTTGCTCTTAGATTGTTTGTTTTTGCTTTTATAGCTTGTCCCATGTCAAAAACATCATAGAAAAGAGTTGACTTAATAAACATCCGCATAGAATATTTTATTAAATAAAAATGAAGGAAAAGGTGCCAGCGTGTATGCGAGCATGAAATTAAATTTATTTTTACGGGATACATTGAGTTTCAAGTGTTAAATTGGGTTGGGTTATTAAACTTCATTTTCACTTTTTTTTATAATTATTATTGTTCAGCCTGCAAGTGTTAGCTTCTAAATTACTAGCCATATTCATTTTATTTTTTATTTTTTTTTTCATCTATAAGATTTACAAATTAAATGAAGCTCCTCTCAACAGAAATAGTAAAGAGATTTGGAGTCTAAAGACTAGTACACTGATAAGCTGTATTGATCAACGTTGGTGGATTGCATCTGCCATTTTTCACACACAAAATTCAGTTGTCTCTTTATTTATTTATTTATTTATTTATCTGCAGAAACATCTAAATTCAAGAATTGAATTCTACTAGAAAAGAAGGGGAAAAAACAAAAAAGATCAAATAGGGCTCAATATCATTGATAAAATTGTTTTGTTTTAAGACCTGCAATGTTATTTATAATAAAATAAAACCTAATCTAAATAAGAAACAACTAATTATACTAATTCTTTGATACATAGGAAAATAATGGAAGAAAACATAAAATTATCAAAAACCACAAATTTGAGTTAAGTCTATATTTAATAAATAGAAAGTTCAAGAAAAGTGTCATAATATTTGAGTTAAGTCTATATTTAATAAATAGAAAGTTCAAGAAAAGTGTCATAATAAGCAGAATAAATTGTAAACCCAAAACAGAATTCCCAACTGTCACCACAGTGTACAACCATGCTATGCAAGAAAAGAGAGCATTATTCACCGGCAACACAACCAACCTGCTTACCAACAATTTTTCCAGTGTACAACTATGCTATGCAAGAATAACATTATTCACGAGCAACACAAATGACCTGCTTACCAACGTTTTTCCCAGAACATAACCCAACAAATGCAGCCGGAGCAGTTTCCAACCCTTCATTCATATCTTCAATGTAAACAATCTTCCCTTGCTTGTAGTAACTAATCACGTCTTCCAAAAACTGTGGGTACAAATGCAAGTAATCGCTCTGCAGGAATCCTTGCATCGTTATGCGCCTGGATATGAGATTGAACACTTTGTAAATCCCTCGGATATTAGACAAGCTTTGCTCAGATACCATCCCGCAAATGGCGACTCTGCCATGGATCCTCATGTTTGTAAGTGCTGCATCAAGCATACGTCCGCCTACATTGTCGAAGTAAATATCAATGCCTTTCGGAAAGAACCTGTGTATTAAATAACCAAGAAGATGATGAAACCTCTGTAGCAACATAATAACTTGCAGGATCTAGGAAAAACCAAAATAAAAAATTTAGTTGGAGAATTTTTTATACAACTTTCCAATGAGTAATGCTAGATATCCCAAATGTTTTACCAAATGTTCTACCAAATGTCTCCCATGGGTGTGGGACTCACACGCCCATGTGAGACCTCTAGCATTTTTCCTTTCCAAAATCTAGATTAACCAATGTGGCTCTGGTTTTTCAATTAGGGACTAAACCAAAAAAATGTAACAAATAAACTTGCCCTGCTAGGAAGGTTGCAGCTCACCAAGTATTTATTTATCAATATTTCAACAAAAATTTACTAGACAAAGAAAGAGTGCATGATTTTAATTTTAATTTTTTTTTTTAATTTAGGTAAAAGACCATCCACCAGGTTCAACCCAACTTCCTTTTTGTACATAATCATTCCAAATGATGGATTTGAACCTTCAAATGCTGTTATAATTCACGTCGAATAGTTGAACATTTCATTTGTCTTTCCAATTTTCATCAATTATATGGGAAGTTATAGAAAGAACAACAGATTTGGACTTTTTTCCCTTTACACTCCGTTTGTTTTCCGCAAAAAATGTAAACATTTTCTAGAAAAATGATTCGTTTTCTCATGTTTGGCTGCAACCATGAAAATGAACACCAGGAAACATTGTCCATTGTTTGGCTCGCTCATAAAAATGATTAATATTTCCATATATCAAGATGATTGTGACGTTTCTTATAGTAACTGCAATGTGCAGATAGAATTGACACTAAAGCCTTATGCTTATTAAGAAAAGGATAAATGAACAATATATGTATATAGCACACACTTGTATGAACTTGTCATGGTCAATTATAGAAGGTGGAGTGAAATTTTATTTTCACCATTGCACTATATACACACAGAATTCTAATAACATCTTTGGTTGGCATCATGATTTCTTAGCTTCCATTATTCCTCTTTACTCGATGCTGTAGATAATTTGTTGATGTCTCCATTTGGATCTACGTATCTAAGTAGGATGCCATTTGGATCTACGTATCTAAGTAGGATGGTGGTGGTCATGCCAACCAAAGATGATATTAGAATTCTGTGTGTAAATTACGTTATTAGAATTCTCATGTCCGTTGCGTTTCGTTAATACATAAATTTTTTTCTAGAATATATTCTCCATTTAAACAAACGGAGCAGTAATTGAGGAGTCAAAATGCTGAAGATTAAGGGTTGAAGGTAAAAGCAAAACTGCCAGTTTCTTCATGCTTTTATCTTGAAGTAATTCATGCGCATACGCAATCATTGTTTCCAATTGAATTTTGATATTGATAGGGTTGATACCTCCTACCTTGCCCCCGTGGCATCAAAAGTGGGCTTAATAATTTATACCTAAATAAAATAAAATTATATTTGTTCTATACATGCGTGTCTGTCAGCATGTTTGTATGGTAAGCACCCAAAATAATTTCACCAAGGAACCAAAGATAATATTTGCGGAGGAAAATAATTGTTGTGGAATCAATTAAAAAAAGTAAGCCCAATTTAGTGCCCATTGGATAGGGGTGCAGGAGAGGTAGAGACAGTCCACCAGTAAAATGATGAATTAACAGGAAGACACATGATAGTTGCATGAAAGAGCCTACTGAAAAATTCGATCACAAAATAATTTCTCTCAGGCAACGCATAATATAAAGCTATCTGAAAGTGTAGTTCAATCTATACTCTCTAGTGTGCTAGAACATTGTAAATCATCTTTTCTGGCTAGACCCTTCTAGTTTCCATAAATATTACCATACAACTCACTTTTTTGAAAGAACTCTTACTGACCTTTTCAATGCTGCATCAAGGTCTGTCTCTTTTTTGTAGTTAAAAGCTTCATCAAACCCAAGCTTATTCTTCAGAAGATCAACCTAATATGCCCCCATTTAAGAAATTATATTTCTTGTCAGTTTGAAGAACAGCAGTTAATAATCAAACAGGCTAGCCTACTACAAAGATGCACTAATGTTTCGTTGTTTCAGCAGAAAACATTTTCTATGAAAAACTTTTTCCAACAAATATTTTTCCTAGAAAACTGTTTCCTAGGTTTGGTTGCAATCTTGAAATTAATGTACTAATGGTTATATTGGTGGTGGTGGTGGCAGCGGACCAGAGGTGGAGGTGGAGGTGGCGGCAGTGATGGTAATGGCGGAAGTAATGGCAGTGATGGTAATGTCGTGGCATTGGTAAAACTTTAGTTGGAAAAACATTTTTCACATTTTAAAAGTGGCCAACATTTTCCACTCAAATAAACTTGTTTTTCGTTGACCATAGAAAACATTGTCTGTTATTTTCCAATAAATGGTTTTCGCTCAGACAAGCGTGAAAAGAAACTTACTTTCTGGTCTGTGCCAGCACTTCCAACTACATAGCATCCGTGTAGCTTAGCGAGTTGGCCTACAAGCTGACCAACGGCTCCTGATGCAGCAGAGACAAAAAGATAATCTCCTTTTTTAGGGGCACAAACCTCATGAAATCCAGCATAAGCGGTAAAACCTGGCATACCTGTGCAAAATTGAGTTACATGACTGTTTCATCGAGGTAACTAAAGGTTGAGAAATAAGAAACAATATTATATGACTGTCATAGACAAATGCGCTAAGCAGTTTATTTCTTCAGAAAAAAAAGTTAATGGGACAAATGTAGATGCTGCTCTTTTTATTCCAGTTCAAGGGTTCACCCGACCGCTAGCCAAAGAAAAGAAGTGATATGAAACATGTTCATATTTGAAACCCCAGAGCAATTAGGTTTTACCAACTCAAGTCAAATTTAACATGAAAAAAAAAAGGAAAACAAATCTGGTCAGATAAATTTAAAAACGCAAATACTAATGAATTATGAAGGCAGACTAAGGGTGGTGCTAATGCCACGAATAAAAAAGCTACAGCCACGCAATTTTCATTTTAGAGACAAATTTACCATTAAACCAATTAGACGACTCACTCTTTCTCTCCTCCTTTGTCTACTTCTCATTCTTTTACTCCAGTTTCACTCTCTTCACCAACCACCAAGGCCAATCAGCGCATCCACTATCACTTGTTTTTTTTTATCCATGCCCTCTCTCTCTCACTAGTCCAATGACCCATCATTGCTGTAATCGGTGACTATTTGCTCTCTATGGTGACCCATCTGGCAAGCCGACTGATCTATTTCCTATGAAGCACGGACACCTCTCCGGAGGTCACGTACGAGTGTCCGACACAGACACGCGCCGGACATGCTCCAGACACGCTGGGACAAGCTGTGGACATGTAAGGACACGCATGCTGAGGACACGTTGAGGACTATTTTTTTTCAAAAAAAAATTAAGATTTTTAATTTTTTTTACTAAAATAATATACCTAAAGTTGATAAATTTGATAAAATTAAATATTTGACATAAAATACATATTAAACATTTAAAAATACGACATCTAATAAATATATAAAATTATATTTTTTGCACGTGTCCTGCATTTTTTGAAAATTTACGTGTCTATGTCGTGTCTGTGTCGTGTCACGTGTTCGTATCCGTGCTTCTTAGTCTATCTCTATCCTCCCTCACCACCACTGTCCCCGTCAAAAGTGAACAATCTCACTCCCTCTCCCTCTTGCCGACTTCCACTGCACTGTCTATCCCCCTTCCAGCATCAAATAAAGAATAGACCTCCAACTCAATCACTGCAACACAGTGAACAGTGGTGATGACATCATGCGTGTTGCCACACCCCCATTTAGTCCTCACTAAAAGCAGAACACTGAACGATCAAAGCTTGATAGCTCTACATATATAATAGACATCAAGCCAAGCATGTATCAAGTATTACCAAGATGCCAAGCAAAATCAATGGATGTTGTGTTAATGTTTTCTAAAGGAAGTTTTCTGAGGCAGCAATACTGAGACGGGTGTAGGCATGCATCTGCCTCTAAACTTTGGGTATTAGGACATTGTTGATGAGAGAATAATGCTGAGAGAGAGAGAGAGAGATTGATTTAGGGGGAGAGGAGAATGGATGGATCTTTAGCGAGAGAGAGAAAGAAGAAAGAGAAAACAAAAGTCAGTAGTGGATGAGAAAGGAAGAGATAGGGTGAGAGAGGAGAGACGCCACAGGGTGAGAAAGGAAGATGAAGAGAGCGGGAGTTGGCCATGCCAAGAGAATACGATATGGAAGAAAAATTAACTTGTCTGATTATTCAAGAGCAATTTTGTCCTTCGTTAAAAATTGAGTGGATCCAATTTTTGCATTTGCGGCATTAGCACCACCCATAGAACAACAATGTGTTTTATGTCAATAAGAATTAGAGGTCATGAATTAGAGCGATGACAAATACTATCCACTTTGCAACATTGTGGTGTGGGTTCGTGTCACAAGAAACAACCTCCTCAGAAAAGTAAAAATAAAAACAAGATGAAGTTAAAAAGTGGGGGTAAGGCTACCTACCTAATACCTCTCCTAGAAATTGCTGCATGTCGGAGCCTTGTGCACTGGTCTAAAGTAGAAAGGGAAGTTACGAGAGCCAACAAACATATTATGAAGATCTAAAGAGACTGACTACTTGTAATACCCAAGTTTTAAATATGATTATTTTATTGGATAAATTAGTAATTAAATTAATTTATATGGGTCATTTATTAATATCAAAGAATTAGTTATGAGATGGCATTATATTTTCTATTACTTAGATGGGTAATTTTGTAACTTTGAGAAATTAGGTTAATAAGCCCACCTATTGTGGCTTTAAGTCTTGGAAAACAAACAAAACAGAGGCGGTGAATTGCTCCATAGGCGGCTAGGGTTTGAGAAGGTAAAAGAAAAAAGAAAAGAAAAAGAGAAGAGAGGCTTGTGCTGCAGAAAGGGTTTGGAAGAGTTGAAGGTGAAGGCAGCAAGCAAGGGTTTGGAAAAGTTTAAAATTAAAGAAAAGAAACCCAAACCAAGGAAGAGGGAGGATTCATAAGAGTGGTGGTTTTGCTTTATTCATCACTTAGGTAAGATTTATTTTATTGTATTCCTATCTATGATTTTAGTGTTAATATATCAATAGATGATTTTATGGGCATATATGATTAAATAGATATATTGATGTAGTCTATGTTGGGGGCCTCAATTTTGCTCAATTTTAGAGTGTATTTTGCATCCCATTTGGGTGGTTCATATTTTGAGATTGATATGTGATGGGTTAAGTTTAATGGTGGTGTATTTGTGGGATACACGATTGACTACAAGCAATTACAAATTGTTACGTGTATATAAACAACAATAGAATAATATGGGGCTGGGGTGGTGCAACAACAAGCCACCATAGGGAATAACTTGGCTAGACTTATGGAGCAACAACTACGGATGCAGCCAGGTGTTGGGCCACAACCGAGGCCACGTTGTAACATTATT